TCACAGGGGTTGGATAAATTATTAATCAAAGCTATATATATATATATATGTTTAATTTTTTTATTTTAAAAAATTAAGTATAGTATTTAAATTTTATATAGTATGTTTCTGTGCCAGACACGGTTCTGTGTATCTTAAAACAACCTTAGTAGGGAGCTGCTATTATTTCTGTGGTCTGTCCACAGTATCTGACTGTACCATGCTCTCCAGCTTTTGACTTCAATAGATGTTCTGTTTCCATTACTTTAGGGGGCTGTTTCCATTTGTGGAGAGTATCTGAAAAGGAGAAGCCCCTTTTCATTGTTACCGGAAAGCAGAAGTTACTTGCTAGACAGGTTACTTGTTTCACTTTACAAGGAGATGAGAAAAAAAGCAGACCACAGGAAACAGTCGCCCTCTAACTGTGAAGAGCAGGTAGATGCTATCAACTGCTCTGTCTTTGCGGTCCTGTCACCAGACGATGGTTTGTTTTTGCTTGTGCTTAATTTGTGTGTCTTAGGCTTTTGGTAGGCGAGTCCAGTTTGCTTTTTAGAGAAGGAACGCGCGTGTTTTTAAATCTGCCCATTTCCTAATCGCTGTTATTTCCACCCTGCAGTGAGTTTTGAGGGATGCACCGGCCAACCAAGGACCGTCTATGTTTCTGATGACACCAGATTCAGAGTGGGCACGGATGGGGTGCTGATGGTCAAACGGCCTTTACAGCTGCATAATCCAGAGATGAGTTTCCGGGTTCACGCCTGGGACTCCGCCCGCAAGAAGCTCTCCACCAAAGTGACGCTGAAGGCAGCAGTGCACGACCACCGCCAGCACCACCACCACCACCACCACCACCATGTATGTTGCAGTGTTTCTTAAACGTTCGCTATTGTTTTAGTCTGCTTCCTAAGGGGGGGTTCGCTACTTGGCACCATGCAGATTTGGGGCTGGGTAATCTTTTGTTGTGCTGCGTCCCGTGCACTGTGTGCTGTCTATCAGCATCCCATGTCTTCACCCATTAGTTGCTAATTGCACCCCCAAAGCTGTGACAACCAAAGTGTCTCCAGACACTGCCAGTGTCCCCTGGGGAACAAAATAGTCCTCAGTTGAGAACCATCGGTCTAACTGAACTAACTTTTGTTGGGGATTTTTATTTTATTTTATTTTATTTTATTTTTTTGCTTTTGGGTAGAGAGGGATTAGGTGGACCGGTGGCAAGATGCCATTATCTTTATTTCTGCAGGTTGAGTAGAATAGTGTGGATAAGGGCATAGACTCTGTCTGGGATTGAATTTACTACCTGAGTAAACGTGGGAGGGGTGTGTTATTTAATCTGTTAGTGCTTGAATGTCCTTATCTGTAAAATGGAGATGATAATGACTGCTTGGGTTAATACACGTGAAATGCTAGAACCACGCTCGGCATATAATAAGTACTCAGTAATTATGAACTGTCCTTATCACTCCTTTCCTGGAGGAAGAATGAGTAAGAGGTCAATACTCTCATCATTTGCTCTTTGTGTTGCTAGTGGAGAGGGTCTTGGCAAAGAAAGGGAAGAGTCAGTGGGAAGCCTTTGCCTCATTGGATTGTAATCTACACAAGACCCTTCCCCGTTATATGGCAGTGCCTGGCCCTCCGTCTGGCACATAACCAGGAGGCCAGTAACTATTCAGTGGACAAACAGGTGGACCAGCCATGAATGGAAGGACGTATGCCTGTCCAGGTTCTTGGCAAGAATGTTTCTGGGAATTGTTAGCCAAAGCCAAATGCCTTTGCCAGTTTCTAAAGTGTTCCCATGGCGCTTTCTACCAAAACGTCTCTCTGGGGAGCATTCTAGTTGCATTCTGCTACTGCCTTGGAAATGTGGACCAGGTTCTACATGCCAAGGCCTCTCTAGCTGGATCCTGGTCTTCTCTCCAAAGACTCCTAAGATTCAGGGGACTTGACAGTCCTCACAGATTGAAATTTATCATCCCGGTGTGATTGGACTGGCCAGAAAATTGAGGGACTTGGCAGAATTATATTAACATAGGTCCCTGACTCAAGTCCTCAATGGACTCTGTCATTCATGTAAGTTCAGCACGGTGGGTTCTTGCTGGGCAGCTATGCCTGAAAGCCTCTTATGACCAAAGACAGTTTTGAACTTGTTTTTTTCAACCTTTCCTCCCCACCTTTGCCAACTTTGCCTCTGCCTCCATGTCTGCTGATTGTGACTAGGTTCAAATACATATGTTATAGAAAAACACAACTCACAGTGGCCTACTCAAAATACAGTATTTCTCTGTCAGTGAAGGAAATCCAAGGTAAAGGTAAATTGTGGATGGTATGGAGAGCCCACAGCCATCCGGAGCCCAGGTCCCTCCTTTCCTTTCTGTTCTGTCATCCATAGTACATGGCTTCAAGCCTCAAGGACACCTCATGATCCAAGAGGGCTGCTAGAGCTCCAGCAGTCACAGCTTTATTCCAGGTGACAAGAAGAAAGGGAGGAGGTAGCAAGATGCATCGCTTACCTGTCTGGCTGCCTCCTTAAGAAGCCTTTTTGGAGTGGGCCTACGCCGTCAGTTGGACATCCTTAGCACTTCCAGGGAGGCGGGAGAGGCTCCTCTCACCACCACTGTGCTCACCAGCCTTGAGCCCAGCTTCTGGCTGAGCGGTGCACCCCCTGTGGGAGGGCAGTGACCACCAGGGGGCAGCTCCTGTATTAGGTGTCTGCCCCCTGGTGGTCAGTGCACGTCATAGTGACCGGTCATTCGCCGTTCGGTTGACTGGCATATTACTCTTTTATTATATAGGATTAAAACATCACTGTGTACACACTAAATATACATAAATTTGTCAACTATACCTAAATAAAGCTGGTGGGGGGAAATAAGAATAGATCTGACTTTGCAGTTCTTTCTCTTTCTTGGTGGCTTTTCTCAATCTAGTGTCTCTTTTTTCTGAGGGATGAATTCCATGTCCGGTATGCTTAGGCACGGCTCCCTCTCATTTTACACATGAAGACGTTAAAAAAAATGTAATGCCCTTATTTTTTCTTTTTTAATATATTTTATTGATTTTTCACAGAGAGGAAGGGATAGAGATAGAGAGCCAGAAACATCGATGAGAGAGAAACATCGATGAGCCGCCTCCTGCACATCCCCCACTGGGGAAGTGCCCGCAACCAAGGTACATGCCCTTGACCGGAATCGAACCTGGGACCCTTCAGTCCGCAGGCCGACGCTCTATCCACTGAGCCAAACCGGTTTTGGCCAGGCATTAATATTTCATTTCTTCCTCCCAAGAACCTTATGAGGTGTAGGTACCAATATTAACCCATTCTTAGACATTAGGAAACTGGGGGACAGAGACGTTCAATAATCTGCCCAGGAGATGGAAGTGCCATAGTGAGAATTCAAAGCCAGGCAGCTGGCTCCAGAGCCTGCCCTTGACCCAGGCAGGACTGCTTCTCTAGGAGGTGAATGTGAGGGTGAGATGGTGTGTGTGCGAGTGTGTGTGTGTGTGTCTGAGGTGGAGGTACCAATATTAACCCATTCTTAGACATTAGGAAACTGGGGGACAGAGACGTTCAATAATCTGCCCAGGAGATGGAAGTGCCATAGTGGGAATTCAAAGCCAGGCAGCTGGCTCCAGAGCCTGCCCTTGACCCAGGCAGGACTGCTTCTCTAGGAGCTGAATGTGAGGGTGAGATGGTGTGTGTGTGAGTGTGTGTTGTGCGTGTGTGTGTGTGTGTCTATGTGTGTGTGAGAGAAGTATGTAGAATTGGGAAGGATTTTGAGGTGATATTTGGTCACATCTCATGTTCGTCTTGTGCATTTTGAGTCAAATTTAAAAACAACAACACAGAAACTAGGGCTTGAATCACACTGGGCAAACAGTGACCAATGACTTTATAGATGGTGGGGGATGGGATTGTCCTCTGGAACTTTGACCGTGTTACCACTGATCACTTTAAAACACTTAGACAATTTGGAAGATTTTTTTTCCTTCCGTCATCTACTATCTTATTTCCCTGTGTATGCATATGTTATCATTATCACACATGAAAAATGTTCAATACAAGTCTCAAAGGATAGTTTTGGTTTTCATCCCAGTAGCTTCTGTTAGAACAAATGGACACCTTGCAGATATAATGACACCACATGAGTAAGGGATTTTTATTGATCACAAAGTAGTTCTTAGTACCAGTTCCCAAAACTTACTGATTTTGGCTGATAACTCTAGTTGGGGACCTATAAACCTAGGAAAAATATAAAGGAAAAGAAATTAAAACACCAGGATATCCAGTTGTTGAAAAAGCTCTGATACAAAATCATTGGAGTATACTGTTCTATTAAACAGGTGTGAAATGTTATATATATATAACATTATATATTGTCTCACGCTATGTCATTATAAATGTTTATATATATGCTAATTAGGCCAGACGTCCTTCCAAAGGACCTTCCCAACAAAGCTGGGACTACGAGGGAAGCCCGGGTCCTGGGTGCCAGAGGGAAACCGGTGCCAGCAGCCAGGGAAAGGAAGGCCTACTCTTGCACGAATTTTGTGCATGGGGCCTCTAGTACAAAATAATATTGAATGTAAGCTGGAATGGAAAAAATAAAATTTAAAAAATTTGACAGGTGTGACATTGTAGACTTAATGTACTTACAAAATAACATCAAACCCACAAACTTATCATCGTGCATGTATGATGATTAAACTCTGGACACTAAGAAAAATCAAAAGAGAACATGTTACTATGGCAAAGGGGTTCATTGGGTTTTGTTTTGGCTGTTAATTTTGTTATTAACTAAAACCTGCCGAAACCGGTTTGGCTCAGTGGATAGAGCGTCGGCCTGCGGACTGAAGGGTTCCGGGTTCGATTCCGGTCAAGGGCATGTGCCTGGGTTGCGGGCACATCCCCAGTGGGAGATGTGCAGGAGGCAGCTGATCGATGTTTCTCACTCATCGATGTTTCTGACTCTCTATATCTCTCCCTTCCTCTCTGTAAAAAATCAATAAAATATATTTGAAAAAAAAATCAAAATACGATTATTTGGATTAGAGTCATTCATGAGCCTGTGACTACGGTGAGAAAAGCAGCTGGCAGTGCGTAGAGTCCATGCGACCTGAGTCCCTGTACAATGTCTGCCCACAGTCACAGCACCCACCC